TGTTTCGAGAGATGATACGACCTGGGAACTTCTCATTCAAATTCTGTTTGAACGTCCATTTTCGTAATAGGTTTCGATAACTTTAACACATTGTTTGATTGTTAATCTTTCCATGGTTGAAATTGCCAAAGACTTAAGTTGTTAAATCTGAAAGAAAAAGAAAAAATTATTAGACGCTTAATTCACATTTAAAATCGGTCCAAGTTATTGGAACACGCTTTATTAATGGGAGTTTCCTTTCAAACCTTTTGTTTAAGGTAGTGTAGAAAGCCAACCTCTTGATTACAGTGAGCCACTGATAATTCGCGTTTCAGCATTTGCGGCTTCACACATTCGCGGATTTTCTTTAGAACATATGTACTTGTTATTCGCGGAAACACCGAAAATTTGCTGAGAACTCCCTCGATTCGCATGTTTTTCGATAGAACATATTTAAAATATTCTTGTATTATTTTCCCGTTATTTAAGTGACTTATGACATATAACAGTCCATTTTCATTGTAAAAAAACAAACACAAAAACATGCGTAGTGCTTAGTCATTGTTCTGTGTTAGGGGCTGCAGCTGGGGTCTTAAAAGTGGTTTATACTAAGTCTGGGGGCATCATCAGAGTTCTGTTTTTAGAAAATGTTTTAAACTTTATATTTTATGTCTTGTTACACGTATTTATACAGTATTTTTAATGGTTGTATCGATCTATGCGTAATTAAAAACGGTTATTGACCGTATGAAAGAAAATTTACGCTAAGTGTACTGTCACCAATACTATTTATCAAAAATGTTTTTAAAAGGATCTGAAATGTTTTTAAAGTGTTTAGAATGAAATTATAAGGCATATGGGGTTTTAAAAATTAAAATAGATGCTTATAAGCACTTTTAGGGTGGGGTGTAAGTATTCGCGGATTCTAACTATTCGCGGTCGGTTCTGGTCCGTAATACCCGCGAATACGGGGGACTCATTGTATATCATTATATTCCCTTCTAGTTACATGTGATAACCATTTTATTTGTTATGGCTGCTACTACTGGAATTCTTTAAGTAATGTGGTTTATGTGATATGACTTCAGGAAACAGTTAACCATAACGCGATGGTTGCAGGTTAGGGTTAGCTACTTGTGTCTAGTTTTGTTTATTTTGTAGAACCACAACAGTAAAACCCAATTTGATCCTCAGGCTTTTTTCACCTTCTGATAAGATTGCAGCACGCGAAGAATCCCTGGCAAAACTTAATTAGTTTCCGAAAAGGCTCGCCTCAATTATATATCGACTCGCACAGCTAACATCAAAATTAAAAGTACATTTGCGCACTATCATCTTATCAGATAGTGCAAGAAATCCTGGACAAAATTTGCTGTCGTACCTAAAAAAAAAAGTAAGAACAACTTATTTATACAACTTATTAAATGATCATAAAAACTTGAAAATTTTATTAATCGATCAAAATCCAATACTATAAAAACAAAACTTCTCAAAAAGAAGAGGAAATTGAAAAAGAAAATACAGCATAAAAAACATGTATATAATACAAGCATTTAAACAAGAACTTGAAGCAACTATAATTCTTTTTAATAATTTCATTCCGAGTAAGGCAATAAGGCCACTGAGATACAAGGAGTTAATGAAAGTGAAAGAAACTAATGAAAGCTTATTGAGGAGAAAGGACAATAAAAGAACAGGTTTCAATGAGACAGAAGATCACGATTTACTCTGCATTGAACTTTTTGTAGATCGCAGTTGATAGGAAACCAATAAGCAGGAAAAGTGTTCCAAAAGTGAGAAGTGCGAGAGAAGAAACTATTTGATTAGAACTTACGGTCGCATCTGTCAATTCCAACAGTAAAAGGATTAAATCGGGCTGCTAATCTCGTACTACGCTAAAATTCATAAAGTTGGATCACCAAGGAGAAAAGATTATTAAAACAATTACCATGAAAATATTTATTTTTAAAAAAAAGGGCAAAGGGAAGCTACGTAATGGCGTTGGAGAAGGAATTGATTCCAAAATGCCAGGTGACAACATTCTTTGGATTTTGCCTAAAACCTCTACATACATAGCAGACGCTGCAACAATATTCAATGCAACGAATGGTAGACATATTAAGGCGTAAGATGAACTCTGGTGCAAAAAAGTGAACCAACTTTCTTAGCAGCAGACTCAGTTTGGAAATAATCGTACCATGTCATATCAGTGGAAAAAACGTTAGACGAAAAAGGTGCAATGTGTTACTCTCCTGTGTACTTTCCATGTTGACGGAAGATAAAAATAGGATCTCCGAAACGATTAAAAGTCTACAATTTGGTTTGGGAGCTGTAAGAATTAACAAACTGTTTCTTGTCCCAAATTGGAGTTCCTTTTCAAGATCCCCTGCCAAGTTGACTTTATGAAACCGATCATGTTTGATTTGATCGATTCATTTACTACGACTTATCAAACCTTTTGAAGGTTATTTAAAGACAGGATTTTTTTTAATTGTAAGAATTTTCGGGGAGGGATAATAATGATTTAGTGCTCAAAGCTGCGGGGTGGGGGGAGATATGGATTCATATAATTCCCAATTGTATTTGCGCGTAAAGAAATATAACGAAATCAACTGGAATTGGAACCCGGCTCTCCAATTAACAATTCCGAGCAATTATCTATTACACCACCGCCACATCCAAACTTACAGTTCCTGGTATTCCCAAACGGTCACCTATCTAGGTACTGACCAAGCTTGACGTTGCTTAACTTTGCTAATCATACAGGAACCTGTCTTTTAACGTGACGTAGCCGTAAGCCGAACCTATTAGACTTACCATTAAGACAGGAATAAATAGCTATGTCATCGGCATAGATACTGAATCGAGGACAATTACTGATTCCTGTTTGAACACGAGGAAAAAAGTGTGAAATTAATAAAGGACGTAGACATAGTAAACTCGGGAGGAGGAAAATGTCATAAAAAACAAACGTCCACGATTCTATTTGGCGCGTAAGTGTAGTTTCCTGTGCAATACATGGGAAATATTAAAGGTCTGCAAATTTGAAGCTGTGGTTGTAGTAAAATAAAATTAAAAAAAATGAAAAAACAACGTTTTTGTGGAAATAAAAAAAAAGTCGTTATACGGACAGAGGAAACTTAAGAAAAGCGAGGAGGTAACTAAGAAGCGAGGTTGGTACGTAACTTGCTGAAGTATATCTGACGATTTTATTCTTTCAAGTGGATTTTGTGGAAAATGTGGTTTACTAAGAGAAACTGGCATTGTGCGTTATTCGCATATAGACACAAGTTACATTAATATATCTGCATAAAACTAAAACTTATAATTTTACAAAAAGAAAGGTTTTATTTTTTTTTTTAGTGTTTTCACACACACACACACACACACACACACACACACACGCACGCACGCACACAAACACGCGACTTATCACGCTGAATCATCGGTTCTCATAGAATCACCGAAATTAAGAAAAGTCAAGACTGGTCAGTATCTAGATGAATGGTGCTTGGGTATATCAGATGCTGTTAGCTTGGACGTGCGGATGGTGTAATTGATAATATTTTTCATCTACATTAATTCTATATATAAATACAAGTTCTGAAATAAAATCTCCACCTTTACTATCTATCTATCTATCTATCTATCTATCTATCTATCTATCTATCTATCTATCTATCTCATCATATTCATAGATAGATAGATAGATAGATAGATAGATAGATAGATAGATAGATAGATAGATATGAATATGATGGGATAGATAGATAGATAGATAGATAGATAGATAGATAGATAGATAGATAGATAGATAGAAAGGAATATGATGAGATAGATAGATAGATAGATAGATAGATAGATAGATAGATAGATAGATAGATAGATAGGAATATGATGAGATAGATAGATAGATATATAGATAGATAGATAGATAGATAGATAGAAAGGAATATGATGAGATAGATAGATAGATAGATAGATAGATAGATAGATAGATAGATAGATAGATAGATAGATATGGAGCCAACTCAAAATTAGCCCCGTAACGATTCCTCGTGTAAACATCCTCTAGGGAGTTCAGTTCTGAGTAAAGCTTCCTCTTTACCAATGGAATACGAAGGGAATGAGGATGAGTCAACCTTGTGTACGTAGCATGAACGTCTTAACTGTGAAGGTCTTAACTGGTGGAAGAAAAGAATGCAGCTCGTCTGAACATTTGCAATGAAAATAGCAGCAGAGTAGCGAGAAGCAAGCAAAGCTGTGGGGAAGGGGTTGTAGGATGGAAAATAATTCATCAACCACAAGTCCGCGTAAATGCCATTCTACACAGTCAAGGCTAGAAAGTGAGGATTGAACAGCTTCATTTTGGGGCTGATCTGACTCTTGTCATGATAAAGCATGGTCGGATGAGTCAGCTACTTTCTTGAGCGGTACGAAGAATTTACCATTTTTCCAGCACTTTGGTACTAATGTCCTCGGAAAAGGCAAGAATCTATTACTTCTCCCTTTTGTTATAGGTTAAATAACAGTGCAAACTAGGCTTATTAGAACCCTGATAGATGTAACAGGAAACAACAGCACTATCTTTCCCAAGAGATCGTATCAATTCAAAGATAATAAAGAAAAGAATCTGTGGAGTGATGCACCTACATCCTAAAGGAACAAGGTCCTTTTTTTTAAATTGACACTGCTATTTATAAATCTCCTTAACTTATATGAATTTATTCTGATGAACTTAAACATTAGTTCAAATTATTTTAAATAGTTTTTGCATGTATTTGTCTTAAACTTTCTGAAGTTTTATTATTGGTATTTGATGTCTGTTCACCAGTCGCGCATTGTGTCAGCCTCTAATTCTGACTTCAGCCTCTAATTCTGACTTCAGCCTCCAATTCTGACTTCAGCCTCTAATTCTGACTTCACAGGAATTTATGAATATTCTTCCGAACAAGTTTTTAAAAAACCCTTAGTTCTTCTGGTGCTCACACTTCGGTAACTTCTCTTCAAGGTTGGAATCGAACTTGAAACACCAGTTCTGGTACGATCACAGAAGTTAAGCAACGTCGAGCCTGGTTACTACCTGGATGGGTGAATGTTTGGGAATACCATGTGCTGTAAGCTAGGATGTGCTGTAAGCTAGGATGTGCTGTTGGTGTCATGGATCTCGGAATCGGAGTTCGGAGAGCCGGATTCCAATTCCAGTCGAGTCCGTTATATCCACTTACGCGCAAAGGTAAGAATTCTCCTCGTCTCCCGCCCACTTGTGGGTTGATTAGCAGGAATAGTATCAGTAAATCATTATTATCTTTTAAAAAAATTCTTACAATCTAAAAATATTTTCTGGCTTTAAATAATCTGCAAAAGATTGATAAACCGTAAAATAATACATCAATCAAGAATTTGTTCAAAGCTTTCGCCATCTCAGCGTTTATGTCCTTTAATGGCAAATTATAAATAATTTTATTTTCAGCGACTATCCTGATTCGTTTTCTACGGCTTATCAACCCTTTTCAGGTTATTTAACACCAGAGTATATTTTTAGTTTGTAAGAATGTGTTTTAAATAATAATGATTTAGTGATACGAGTCTAGTAAGACTTGTATCACTAAATCAGTATTATAGCTGGGTGGAGTAGAGGTGGATTCATACCTTTCCCAAGGGTATTCATGCGTAACTGAATATAACGAACGCAACGAGAATTGGAACTCGGTTCTCTGGTTAACAATTCCGAGCAATTAGACATCACCACACCCGCATATTAAAACTTAAAGAGCCTGGTATTCCCAAGCGGACATCTATCTAGGTATTGACCAGTCTCGACGTTGCATAACTTCGATGAGCGTACTGGAACAAATGTTTCGATGTGATTTGGCCTTAAGCTTTTATACTTGGCAACTATCTCATTACCTTTCACACGTCAATGTATAAATAGAATAAATCGTTCATACGAGCAATTTTTTATTATTTTCTGCTATTGTGTTCTGAAAGAGTCAAATTTACCTAAAATATTCGGAGATTGTAAAATGTATTTACAAGCGCACAGATCTCAGGATTCAATCCTTTGTAGACTACTTTTTCATTAAAAAAAAGTTTGTAAACTTACCGCACCCGGTATTTCCAAGAGGTCACCCATCTGACCAAATTCAATGTTGATGATCGTGCAGGAACCGTTATTTCAAAGTGATATGGCCGTAAGCCGCGACGAACCCAAGCTTCATGGTAATGGCAATGGTAAAAATAGCCGTTTCCATATAGGAAGGAAAAACGGTTTACATTGACTGAACAGTTAGTGTTACTTTTGGTTGAAGTTTTTTCAGGAAATTAGTCTTCTTAAGTTCACTAAATGTTATAGAGCCTTCTAATATGGATGGGAGTTTTCGTGCAACCCTTTTGTTTTTGATAGTTTGGAAAGTTAACATCGTGATTATATCATAATTTTCCCTTCTATTTACACGGGCTACACATTTATCTTGTTACTGCTGTTGGAATTCTTCAAGTGATGCTGTTTTTGTTATTAGGTAAAATTCTAAGTGATGTTGTAGCGCCAATCTACAGAGTCCGATGAAGGATCTTTTTTGTTAAATTTAATGGATTTGTTTTAAATGGATTTTAAACTATTGTTTTAAGAAAACAGTTTTATGCACATTACAATTTATACATTTTATAAATATCATTTACATTCAACCTAAGAAAATATGCACTTCATCATCATAAAACATTAGACATATTTATACATTCTTAGTAAATAAATGTGTAGATGTGAAAAAAAAATCACTATTTATGTTGCTAGAAGTGGTGTAGTACTGTGGGAAGGCGTAGTAACTACGTTCCCTCATTATTAAAAAAAAAAAACATTTGGGAATATAATCTCGCTTTGACATTTTTATTACTGTGGAGTCAGATTTGTCAAAAAATCGAATTTTAGAGTATTTTTGCTTTTATCAGAATTTCAGAGTATTTTTGCTTCTATTAGAAATCAAAAATTATTTATACATTTATGTATAAGAGAAATTTACATACTTCTCTCAAATTCCAAATTTCTGAAATCGGTACCAAATTAGAAATATGAACTTAAAAGCCTTCAGCAAAGACTAAAGAACTGGAGATTTTTTTTGGGGGGGGGGATGTTTATTTCTTCTTTTTTTTCTTGAAAACTTACTTAAAAACTATAAATGGTCGGTGGTTCCAGACAGTACCTGACCCCCTCCAGCACACCAGACAGTACCTGACCCCTCCAGCACTCCAGACAGTACCTGACCCCTCCAGCACTCCAGACAGTACCTGACCCCTCCAGCACTTCAGACAGTACATGACCCCTCCAGCACTCCAGACAGTACCTGACCCCTCCTGCCATACTTTATCTTTACAGGGATCAGATCAGACCAAAAATGGACTATTGCTGTCATATCTGGATTAAGATTGCTCAATCCTCTCTTTCCAGCCTTGAGAATTCAAAAATGTTTATGTGGTTAATTATTTTCCACCTTACAACACGTTTCCCACAAATCCAGCTTTGCAAATCTATCGCTATTTCCATGGAAAATGTTTCGACGAGCTACATTCCCTAGTTCCATCAGTTCAAGTATTTACAACTATGAACCTCCATTCCATATCCACAGGAGCGAACCATCCTCATTAACTTCATATAACATTAGTAAGAAAAAATTCTGACAGCAAACTTCCCAAGAGCCACTATTTTAAAGAACAGACTTCTGAGAAAACTATTTCGATGTTAACTTCTTCAAGTCAAGAGTCAACTGTTATCTATCCTATTTTGGTGTAGATACTTCGATTATTTTATTTATCAGTTTATTGTCTGGTGAAATTCCTTCTTTAGTTATTTGGTATTCCAAATACAATGTCTTGTCGTAATTTAACTCACATTTATCGCTATTTATCGTCATACCAGCATTTTCAAATTTGTTTTGTAAGCACCTATACCTATATCGTCTTGATATATGATTATATTTTTACCCACCCCCTCCGATAGAACTTTGTCAATTGCCCTTTGAAAAATATGGCTTGAACTCTTAACTCCAAATTGAAGACGAGTCTATCTTAGTAAGCCTATCGGTGTATTAATTTTAGTGACTTCTTTAAATTTTCTGTCAATTTCTATTTAGCAATATGCCGATTTCAATCAATCTTAGCAAAGTATTTCATTCTTGCTAATTCGTGACTTACCGTTTCTATGTTAGGTAAGGAGAATGTATCAGAGCATATCTGATGATTCACATCTACTTTGTAATCCCCGGATATCCTCAAATCGCCATTGGGCTTCCGTATCGCAATAATTGGTGAAACCCAACTGCTACTACCTTGGCTAACTTTTTTCAATATGCCTTTTTTCTACAATTTTCTTTAGTTTTGCAATTACCATGGGTAGAATGTGAATAGGTATTATTCGAGATTCAAAATAGACCGGGTGATTATTTTATTATAAAATTGCAGCATGTTCACAAGCATCAGTAGTTAAACTCACTTCTTTTTTGGATCAAAGATTTTTGCAATCGGTTTTCTTATTAATGCCTTTTTTAAGCTTTCAAAATTTATATTTTGTCTTTGAGTCCATTTAAATTCTGTATTCTTTTCCCGTAATTCTGCAAATGGTTCTATTAGGTCACTGTATCTAGGAAGATATTTGCTAATCCCAAAATATTATAATTCTTTTTTTTCTTTTTTTTCTTTTTTTTCTTTTTTTTTTTTGGTGTAGATACTTCCAATATTTTATTTATCAGTCTTTTGTCTGTTGAAATTCCTTTTTTTAGTTATTTGGTATCCCAAATAAGATGTATCGTAATTTAACTCATTTTTTAATTTGTTTAAGACTTGATCATTTTTTTAATTCCTCTTTACTATATATTTTTTCAGAACTTTTTCAATTGCTTTTTTGAAAAATATGGCTTGAAGTCTTAAGTGGGGAAGGCTAAGATTAATTGCGATGAAGATTTTTCTTTTCATGTATCGTGTCCTTTCCGGACGTAGGCGATCATGGCTCTCCACTTCCTCCTATTTCTTGCAACTGTCAATACGTTTCGTATCTGTGCCAGCTCCCCCTGACCACGTTCTTTCATACATTTGCTTAAGCCCTGCCAGATATGCTATGCGTTGCTTTCCCTTGTCTCTTTTTCCCTCTATTCGACCTATGAGTATCAGATTCTCAAGGCCATCCCTTCTCATTACGTGTCCCAGAAATTTCATCTGCCTTATGTTATAACCTTCTCCCTTGTTTAAATCCTCTCCAAGACTTCATCATTGCTCACATGCTCGTTCCTTAGCATCCTTCTGTAGAGCCACATCTGCCTCGAGACTCTTCTTCATCTCTGAGGAGACCGTCCAACATTCTCTGCCCTAAAAGAGGACAGATGTCACGTAACAGCTCAATACTCTTTTCTTTGTCACCAAAGAATTCCTCCTGTCTCGCAGTACTCTGCCCAGCTTTTGGAATGCATCTTTGGCCATCCCAATCCGTCTTCGGATCTCAGGGTCGCACTTAACGTCCTCTGTCAAAACACTTCCCAGATATTTAAACGTCCGCACATGCTTCATTTTAGAGCCCCAGACCTGAAAATCGCATTTTGGGCTCATCCTTTTACTGATGACCATGCATTTTGTTTTCTTGTAGTTTATGCTTAGTCCCTTCTTCTCGCTCTCCCTTGCTACCTTTTGTAGGAGGTTTTATAGTTTCTTTTCCGTGTCTGCTATCAGTATTGTGTCATCTGCGTATCTTATGTTAGTAAGATTGTGGCCGCCAATGCGGAATCCCGGTAAAATCTCCAATTCTCTCAGAATTGCCTCGCTGTATAGATTGAATAAGTCCGGTGAGAAGACACATCCTTGCCTTACGTCCTTTTTTATTTTTGTATATTCACTGAACTCATTCTCAATGCGCATGCATGCCGTTTGCTGCCAACAAATGATAAAACTTCCATTTCATGCCTTTTTATAATTACCATGCCCAACTCTACAGGGCCATCTCCCTAGTCAGTACCTCACCCACGGAAGAGAACTAGGACTGATCCCTGGCGCCTGAGATGTGCTAATAGGGAAATACCGAGAGAGCTTGGAATTTATTTTTGTCTTTCTTCCTATGTATTCGTGGGACTCCTACTTTAAACT